TGCGCTCGGGCAGGAGTTCGCTCAGGCTCCCAGCAAAACAACAACAATATAATATGTGCCGTCTATTCTCCTTCGAGGACGTCAGAGAGACAGACGAAGTCTGCGCGGCCCTCCGAAAGTTGTTTTTCATGATGAACAGGAGGAAGCTTTCGGAGGTCCGCACCCATCGCATGGATCGGCGCTGAACCCCCTGCGCCTCCGGCGCTGCCTCCTGCGCGTTCCGCGCGCCAGGGAGGGGTCTGGCGCCGATCCAAGAGATTGGCACGGACATCCCAAAGTTTATCTAGTGGCCTTCGGCCCACCGCGCCACCATGCCTGGGTTGCAGGTCCGAGGCCTCTTGGGTGCCTCTTGGGGGGCCTCTCGGAAGCTTCTTGGAGGCGGTTTTAGGATGCTCGAGGGCCTCTCGAGGGCCTCTCCGTGGCCTCTTGGGCGCCTCTTGGGTCCTCTTTTGGCTCTCTTACGGGCCTCCTGGGACTTTTTTGGGGGTCCTGCTGGCGGTCTCGGGGGTCATCTTGGGGCGGGAGGCTCGAAGTGTCAGCCCGAAACAGCGACAACGCTAGCATCTTTCAAACACCTACGGTAAACCCACAATTTGTGCCTCATGGGACCCTTTTTGTATGCAGTTCGGTTTCTCTTGGGGCGTTGTGGATGCCTCTTGGGCCATATTCAGGCCATCTTGAACGTCTTGAAGCGATCTTCGGGCGTTTGGGGGCCCTCTTGAACCGTCTCGGGGGCCTGTTGGAGCTCTCTTGGCCCGTTTTGGGGCCCTCTTGTTTCCAAGTCAGTCACGCGACAACACGCGCGAACACGCGGGAAGCCACGAGACCGCTTGGAACTCAGGGCTTGGGTGGGCTTGGGCCCAGTAAAGAGTAGTCCAATAATCAAACAATGCCCAATACAGGACCCTATTGGACTTGAGGACGCACCAACTCGTGCCTCGAGGCACGGTGGCGGATGTTTATGTAGTGTTCTCTTCCGTGGGTGCAATGGGCTATCAATTCCTGTGTCCTCGTGTTTCTCTCGGAGTCGTCACGCTATCGGCTCGCTGGCAGTTTTCGCTGTGCCTCGTCCGGAGCGCGCGGCACCGAGAGGCGCTCGGCCGTCGTCGGGGATGGGGCGGCTCTGCAGGCTCAGCGCAGACAGATCTGCCCGGCTCAGGCAGGCCTCCGCCGCTCTGGCAGCTCGTGGCGTCGAGCCTCGGCACTTTTTCCGGTTTTTCTCATCCTCGGCGACGCGCCCCCAGGGGGGGGGGGGCGGAGGGGGCTGGCCTTCTCCGAAGGCGGCGGGGCTTCGGAGGAGGCGTAGAGAGCTTCTCAGACGGCTGGAGGCCTTCTGAGCCCTCCGAGAGTCTCCGTCCCTTCTGCCTCCTCCCCGGCCGCGCCGCCGATATCCACCTGCTGCTCGTCCTCCGCCTCTCGGCCTCTTCTCTCCATGCCTGGTTTGCCGCACGGAGTCGGCCTACGAGGGCCCCGAGGCACAGCTCGGGCTTCTGGGCCAAAGCGGAACTCGGAGTAGCAGTGTGCCATGCTTGCTCCCTTCTTCTAGGCTCTTAGATGGGGTCCGAGTAGATGGAGTCGGAGGATCGCGCCGCATCGCCGATGCATCGACGATGTGGCCGATGTGGAGACCGTGTTTCCCCACGCCGACGTCGCCGATGCATTGCCGACGTCACCGATGCATCGCCGATACATCGCCGATGCATCGGCGATGCATTGACGATGCGGCGCAATCCTTCGACCCCATCTACTCGGACCCCATCTAGGAGGCCTCTACTTCTTTGACTTTATCTCGGGGGGGGGGTCCTACTGTCTACTGCAGGATCCTCCCCACAAGGTTCACTTCGCCTGGCGTTCCGCGTGCGCACACCTTCTCTCTGGGGCTCTCGTCAAGGAGTCCGAGGCTCCGAGGCCGAAGCCTGACCACCTGGAGGCGCAGCAGTCTCGCTTTGTGTAGAAGTCAGGTAGGGTTGAAGGCCTCTTTGCTCAAGCCGCTGCCATCTTATCCTCGCTCTCTTCCTCCTTCCTTCCCCTCCCTCTCCCCCTCCCCCGCTGCTTCACTTGAATTTTTTCCCTGTCAGACAACCCCAAACGGATGCCCGCCCACCAGGGTCGATCTTTCCACAACCCGCTCTTCTCGCCAAAGGAAGACACTACGAAGTGAATGTGGGATTCCCGATATTGCATCTGCCTAGGCGGTCCCTAGTCATGCTGTACAAGGGGCCCAGTGGCTTTTGCAATCATCCGGCCCGTCCGCACTGGTTCTGGAAGGATCCATGGACTTCTCGGGAATTCCTCGGTCTTCTTGGGTTCCTGCGGCTCGTATGTCGTGAGATGCCGTGAACTAAGTCGAATGCAACGACATGCTGCGTCGTGCCATCCCAGTATACTGGGACGATGCTCTGCTATCCCATGCAACCGCTACGCTTCAAGTGATTTGCTCTGCCATGCCGAGCTATACTTACGCCCTTCGTGTGACACCGCGATGGAATACCATGTTTGGTTTTATGGATTACCAGCGTTGCAGTGCTTCGCACAGTTACGCCATGCAATGATACTGCATGGCGCATGCATGCAATGGTGTACCGCGGCATGCTAACTTATGCCATGCGACGTTTGCGTTCGGCAGGCTATGGCCTGCGAATGTTGCGCTGCGAGGCAACATTGATATGCCATGCCATCCTGAAGGTTCGCTATGCTGCAGGCTGTATATGTATATACATATATATATATATATACAGATGTGTGTATAGATCAATGTATATATACATGAAGCTATATGGCGACATGTATGGTATGCATGGCATGTATATGCTAACTGCATGCTATGCTACGCGAGTACTTGGCTACGCTGTAGTGTGCGATGCTGCGCACTGCACTGGTGCTGTGCTAGGCCCATCTCTTCATGCATCACACAGAGAGATGGCGCCCCGTCAGGGTCCGCTGAGGTCGGCGCTTAGAAGGACCACTCAGTGGCCCAGGATGTACAGTTGCTCAGAGGAAGAAGGGGTGCCGATAGGTCTGCCCTTCGCCAGTTTTCCCCCTTTTCGGCCTCCTCGGAGGCCCTCCTTGCCACCGCTGGATTCGCTTCGAAGTCTTGGTCAGAACGCGCCCCGGGAGAGGTCCGGGAAGTAGCTGTATCGGTACTTCTTCTTGGCTTCCCCAGTTGCACCCATTAGGCGATGTCCAGCTTGGGTCCGTATGGATCGTCGCTTCGTCGGAGCCCCATGGGCCTTGGCAGTGACGATTTTGTGGTTGTAGCACCTACGAAAGCAAGGTGCCATTCGGATCCGCGAAGCTTGACACTCCATTAGATCCCTTGGGGCCCAGGAAGTGGTCACGGCTGGCGTTGTGCGTTTGGATCTGCGTAGATCGGCGCTCTGCTGGGATCCCCGGGGGCCCGCGAAATGGCGACGGTTCTGCTCTCGGGAGCCTCCGAGGAGGCGGCGTCCTGTCTGGGCCCGCGCGGGCCCTCGCTCCGCTGGCTCGCCCAGGGGCCCAGCAGCGGCACGCACGGCGGCACTCAGGACGAGGAGAGCGTGTGTGGCAGATGGGATGAGGCTCAGAGGTGGAAAAAGGTACCCGTCTGCCACAGACGCATGTGGTACCCATACACCTCTACCCTTCCCTGGTTTTCCTCTGTTTGGGCCTCCTGGGCGGCCCTCGTCGCCACCGCCGGATTCGCATCGAAATCCTGGTCAGAACGCGCCCCAGGAGAGGTCCAGGGTGTAGCGGTATCGGTACCTGTTGGTCCCCCCAGAGACAGGACGCATGAGCTCGTCTTTGGCGATTCCGCTGGCCCCTGAGAGCGCTCAGCGAGGCGCAGCCTAGTGTGGGGGGGGGTCTGGCCTGACGTGCCCAAACCTGCGAGAAGCTTCCGAGCCTAGTCGAACGCCTTGCAGGCACCCTTTGGTGTTTCGCCCTCCGAACTCGTCCTCCCAGGGCTGTTTTTTGTACACTCTTGCCCCGTCCTTAGATGATCTTAGACAAGCTGTGGGCGTTGCTTTTTGTTTCGTTTTCAAGATCGACGTTATCTATCCGTTTTGGGCTTCGTTTTTGTTACGTTTTGAGGTCCGGGATCGGCCCTCGGCCAACCTGCTCGTTTTCTTTCCCACTTCAGTGCGTTTTCAACACGTTTTTTGGGGTATCACAATGCCTCCTGCCAGGGTGCCGTTTGGTCGAGTCAAGAGCGAACAGCGGGAAACAGCAAAGAAACGCCCCAGCGCCCTTGAGAGCAACCGAGGCCCCGTGAGCTTTATAGAGCTCCCATGCGGTTTCTCCCACCCGTGCGCTTCCTCGCGCCCGCCCAGGTTGCCTCCTCGCCGCGCGTGGAGGACTGCGTCGGGTGCAAGCGCTGCGAGGCCCCCCGCAGCGCACCGCATACCGTTTTTGAGACACTGGTCCCAGAAGGGCAGCGCGGGGGGCGCCGAGGGGTCATAAGAAGACGCAGGAGAAGACGGATGAGGATGAGAAGGAGCAGGAGAAGGAGGAGGAGGAGTCGGAGGAGGGCGAGGAGGGAGCGGGGAGGAGGGAGGAGGGAGGGAGGAGGGAGGAGGGAGGAGGGAAGAGGGAGGAGGGAGGGGGAGAAGGGAGGAGGGAGGAGGGGTAGGAGGTGGAGGAGGTGGAGGAGGGAGGAGGGAGAAGGGGGAGGAGGAGGAGGAGGAGGAGGAGGAGGAGGAGGAGGAGGAGGAGGAGGAGGAGGAGGAGGAGGTGGAGGAGGAGAAGGAGGAGGTGGAGGAGGTGGAGGAGGAGGGGGAGGAGGAGGAGGAGGAGGAGGAGGAGGAGGAGGAGCATGCACGCCGCTCCGAAAGGACAAAGGGCGAAGGGAGGAGGGTGCAGATGCCTGCCCGAGCTGCTCGCCGCGCACGTCGGGCAACAGGTCGGCCCAGAGGCGAGCAGCCTCAGGGAGCTTCAGCTCCTGCAAGCTCGCGCGCCTCGCAGGCATCCGCTCATCCCTCCCGCGCATCCTCGATCAGGGCCGCAGGGGATGCGTCCTCGGGTGACGCTGCTGACCTGCTGCAGGTGGTCAGAGGGGCACGAGGTCATGATAATTACACCTTCCAGGACTGGTGCTGATGGCCGCTAGAGACTCTGGACCCCCCGAAGCGTATCCTGAGCCAATTTTATCATGACATCATTCCCGTGTCAGCGCGCCGTCCTCCTCCCCCTCGTCGTCGTCGTCGTCCTCCTTCTCCTCCTCCGCCTACTCCTCCTCCTCCTCCTCCTCCTCCTCCTCCTCCTCCTCCTCCTCCTCCTCTTTCTCTCTCTCTCTCTCTCTCTCCGCGTAGTGTGCGTCGTCTGTTCTGCACGCTAGGTGAGGAAGAATTTGGCTCTCGAATGCAACCGTCTTCGCGCCGGTGCTGTACCTCTCCCGCCGCACCAAGATGTCTTCTGAACCAGGCTTTCGGCGTGTGGCGGTGGCGGCATTCGCATGTTTTCGCCAACTGTTGTATCGTGTTATCCGCTCCCATCTTCCCCAGACATCCTCCGATCTGTTTTTCCCAACCCTCCTGCGTTGGGTTCTCGTTTTGAATAGAGCACTGCTCGCGCGTCTCCTTCCTTCCTTCCTTCCTTCCTTCCTTCCTTCCTTCCTTCCTTCCTTCCTTCCTTCCTTCCTTCCTTCCCGTCTCTGTCTTCCCCCCTGCCTTTTACCTCGCTCGTCGCTGCATGTCAGCCTGCTTCCTACCTGGTTGTCCCTGTGCCACTTGCGAGAACTGCCAGGGGCTGCGATCTGTGAAACTGTCGCCACTTTCGAAGGCTGCTGAGGGGCACAGCACAGTGGGTACTCACCGCAGATTCAAATTAGACCTCGCCATCCCTGGGGGGCTGCGATCTGTGAAACTGTCGCCACTTTCGAGGCCTGCTGGGGGGCCCAGCACAGTGGGTACTCACCGCAGATTCAAATTAGACCTCGCCATCCCTGGGGGGCTGCGATCTGTGAAACTGTCGCCACTTTCGAGGCCTGCTGGGGGGCCCAGCACAGTGGGTACTCACCGCAGATTCAAATTAGACCTCGCCATCCCTGGGGGGCTGCGATCTGTGAAACTGTCGCCACTTTCGAGGCCTGCTGGGGGGCCCAGCACAGTGGGCCACCGCAGATTCAAATTAGACCTCGCCATCCCTGGGGGGCTGCGATCTGTGAAACTGTCGCCACTTTCGAGGCCTGCTGGGGGGCCCAGCACAGTGGGTACCACCGCAGATTCAAATTAGACCTCGCCATCCCTGGGGGGCTGCGATCTGTGAAACTGTCGCCACTTTCGAGGCCTGCTGGGGGGCCCAGCACAGTGGGTACTCACCGCAGATTCAAATTAGACCTCGCCATCCCTGGGGGGCTGCGATCTGTGAAACTGTCGCCACTTTCGAGGCCTGCTGGGGGGCCCAGCACAGTGACGCCACCGCAGATTCAAATTAGACCTCGCCATCCCTGGGGGGCTGCGATCTGTGAAACTGTCGCCACTTTCGACTGCTCGCCAGCACAATACTCACCGCAGACTCAAATTAGACCTCGCCATCCCTGGGGGGCTGCGATCTGTGAAACTGTCGCCACTCTCGAGGCCTGCTGGGGGGGGCCAGCACAGTGGGTACTCACCGCAGATTCAAAGTAGACCTCGCCATCCCTGGGGAGCTGCGATCTGTGAAACCGTCGCCACTTTCGAGGGCTGCTGAGGGGCACAGCACAGTGGGTACCCCCCGCAGACTCAAATTAGACCTCGCCATCCCTGGGGGTCTGCGATCTGTGAAACTGTCGCCACTTTCGAGGGCTGCTGAAGGGGCACAGCACAGTGGGTACCCACCGCAGATTCAAATTAGACCTCACCATCCCTGGGGGGCTGCGATCTGTGAAACTGTCGCCACCTTCGAGGGCTGCTGAGGGGCACAGCACAGTGGGTACCCACCGCATCTTGGCCAGCTACTCTTGCCACTTCAACGGTCAACCGACAAAAACCTTCAGGTCAACCGACAAAAAGAGTCACCTTTCTTTCTTCTCCCGCCCCTTTCGTCCTTGTTCTCCTCCTGCAGTCACCTTCCCTCTGCTGCTGCCGTGCTGATGGTTCGGTTTCCCCGCACGTTTTTCTCCTGCTCTGCGTTCCCGACTCCCCATGTCCTCTTCGAGCCTGTAGCTGTCGCCCCTCGTTCTTGTATGGTTCTCCTGCGCATCATGCCGTAGGCGCGTGTCCCAAGTAGCTTACACATCAAGTTGATTGTCCATGCAAGTTTCGGCCAACTCCTCGTTTCCATTGATACAAATGGGTTGGGTACGTCACAGAGTATTTTGCCAATCCGCGGCCCCAGAGCTCCCGACCACTTCCCTGGGGGGGATCCATTCTTGATGGTCCCGGGGCCCGGTAACGGGCCCTGGAGGCCGAAAACCAGGAAAAATGCCAGACGGGTTCGTGCCGTGTTTTTTTTTGTTATATATATTTATATATAAACAAAACAAAAAAAACAAAAAAAAAGAGGAAAAGGTACCCATACCGCTACCCTGCGGCCGTTTTCGTTTTCCCCTTTTCGGGCCTCCTGGGCCTCCTGGGAGGCCCTCGTCGCCACCGCCGGATTCGCCTCGAAGTCCTGGTCAGGACGCACCCCGGGAGAGGTCCGAGGAGTAGCGGTACAATATCGGTCGATACTTTTCGGTTTCCCCACGAATGTCGACGCCGCGGCGACCCCAGCGCGGGCGTTCAAGGTTGAACGTCAGCGGCGGCCCGAAGTCGGCCAAAATGGAACGATCTGGCGATCCACGTGGTGTCAAAAACCAAAGCGCGGGCCGTCACGGCACGAACCTGCCGTGAAGGAGTCTTCTCAAGCTCGGGCCAGCCGAGAGGGAGGTGCCCCAGGGCTCGACAGATGGAATATGTACGACGGCGGCCGCAGGGGAGGGAGGGCATGTCAGGCGATCGCAAACATGGATCAAGACGGCCCGCTTCCATCGGAAATCGCGGATTTCCGCCGCCGAACGAGGCGGCACCGGCCAGATTTTGGAGAGAGCACCTCCGGCGATCCATGGATTTGAGGTTGAGACGGAAAATACCGATTTCTCGAGTCCGTTCGGCTCCGCCCTCCAGGTCCCCGCACGACGCTCTCGCTCGCACTCTTCGAGGTCTCAAGCGCAATGCCGCGGTCTCAGAAGTTCGATGGCGTCCCTTTAGGAAACGCAGCAGCAGCAGGGCGGAGGCCTTAGACTGAGAGTCTAGATTCGGGGAAGAAGCATGGACACAGTTTTCAATCGGGCATGTCCCTCTACAGTATTCAATAATCGTTAAACAATAGTCGGATGCCGATTTTTCGTGTTCCTTTGATGTTTTTGTTTTTTCCCAACCCTCCTTGGTTGGGTATTCGTTTTCAATAGAGCAGTGTGATCTCCACTTCCTCCTTTCCTCCCTCCTGCCTCCCGTCCCGCCTCCCTCTTGCCTCCTCCTGTCTTGCCTGCGGGGGGCTGCGATCTGTGAAACTGTCGCCACTTTCGAGGCCTGCTGGGGGGCCCAGCACAGTGACGCCACGCGCGGACCCAAATTAGACCTCGCCATCCCTGGGGGGCTGTCGCCACTTTCGAGGCCTGCTGGGGGGCCAAGCACAGTGACGCCACGGGCAGACTCAAATTCGACCTCGCCATCCCTGGGGGGCTGCGATCTGTGAACCTGTCGCCACTTACGAGGCCTGCTGGGGGGCCCAGCGCAGTGACGCCACGGGCAGACTCAAATCAGACCTCGCCATCCCTGGGGGGCTGCGATCTGTGAAACTGTCGCCACTTTCGAGGCCTGCTGGGGGGCCAACACAGTGACGCCACGGGCATACTCAAATTAGACCTCGCCATCCCTGAGGGGGGCTGCGATCTGTGAAACTGTCGCCACTTACGAGGCCTGCTGGGGGGCCCAGCACAGTGACGCCACGGGCAGATTCAAATTAGACCTCGCCGTCCCTGGGGGGCTGCGATCTGAGAAACTGTCGCCACTTTCGAGGCCTGCTGGGGGGCCCAGCACAGTGACGCCACGGGCAGACCTGAGCGGGACCTCGCCATCCCTGGGGGGCTGCGATCTGTGAAACTGTCGCCACTTTCGAGGCCTGCTGGGGGACCCAGCACAGTGACGCCACGGGCAGACTCAAATCAGACCTCGCCATCCCTGGGGGGCTGCGATCTGTGAAACTGTCGCCACTTTCGAGGCCTGCTGGGGGGCCCAGCACAGTGACGCCACGCGCGGACCCAAAGTCGACCTCGCCATCCCTGGGGGGCTGCGATCTGTGAAACTGTCGCCACTTTCGAGGCCTGCTGGGGGGGCCAGCATATTCAAATTCGACCTCGCCATCCCTTGGGAGGCTGCGATCTGCGAAGTTGTCGCCAGTTTCGAGGGCTGCTGGTGGGTCCTGCGGAGTGAGGCACGGCGCGGCCCTGAGCGGGACCTCGCCGTCCCTGGGGGGCTGCGATCTGCGAAACTGTCGCCACTTTCGAGCGTTGCTGGTGGGTCCTGCGGAGTGAGGCACCGCGCGGACCTGAGCGGGACCTCGCCATCCCTGGGGGGTTGCGATCTGTGAAATTGTCGCGACTTTCGAGGGCTGCTGGTGGGTCCAGCGGAGCGAGGCACCAGGCAGATTAGATTTGAGCGGGACATCGCAATCCTTGGGGGGCTGCGAGCCTCACGAATGCCGCTCGAAGAAGTATATGCGCCCATGTCACGCCAACACGTCCGTACAACGTCTCCCAAGCTATTCATGCCACACATTACGCAGGGGTTGGGTACGTCGCCAGGGCAATTCCCAACCCTCCTTGGTTGGGTATCCGTTTTGAATAGAGCAGTGTGGTCTCCACTTCCTCCTTTCCTTCCTCCTGTCTCCCGTCCCGCCTCCCTCTTGCCTCCTCCTGTCTTGCTTGTGGGGGGCTGCGATCTGTGAAACTGTCGCCACTTTCGAGGCCTGCTGGGGGGCCCAGCACATTGATGCCACGGGCAGACTCACATTAGACCTCGCCATCCCTGGGGGGGCTGCGATCTGTGAAACTGTCGCCACTTTC